CACAGACACATTGAATACCTGAAAGTCGCAGTTGATCTGAAAGCGGAGCATTGGCCCCACAGCAAACATCAAGAAAGAAGCCGGGCTCAGCTGTGTTTGCCAGCTTCGCAGGCTGCACTGTGGGCCCTGGCTGCTGAGCTGGAACTGCAATTGTATCCCCCGGAAGCGGAAAACCCAGAGAACGGATGTAAGAAATTTGCTCCGGTGTGAAACTCGCCAAGCCACGACATGTGTAAGCTGTAAGCACCCATCTGTCACCTGAGAATGGACATGTGCAGTGAATGTGCTCGCAAGGGAAAGCGGTAGCGCTCTCAAAGGTGTCAATGAGCTCCCCAAGCTGCACCTCAGAGCTGGAAAAGGCATTAGAGCTTGAGTCCTGTGGGGCCGACACAAGTGGAGAATTCACGTTCAAAGGCGGTGACATCCATACTTCTCCACCACAAAAGTTGCCCAATGAGATAGAAAAATTGGTGCTACCCGGTTGGTTGCCTGCATCTGTATGTAAAAGCGTGCGAACATTGTGGCTCACACAGATAGAAGACCAGCTGCTACCCGGGAAAAGCAGAGAAAGGAATGAGTTCAAAAAGCGTACAATGTCGGAGAATTGCTCTGTACGCTGAAAGATGCCCACTCTTTTGCCATCGTCAAAGCCGAAGGCCCCGAGGTTGAAATAAGCATCGGCCTGAGCGATTGCTATGTCTTGAGATTGTCGCGTGAAGTTCGCGGCATCGGAAAAGTATTCCTCCAAAAGCGACAAACAAGTGGAGAAACTGAAGTCACTCGCAGACATAGCGCGTGATGCCGCTGAGCTATCTCGCGCAGCAATCTCTGGCTGAGGCTGAAGCGTTCCTTGTGCGCCTGCCGGGCGAGCGGGTACACAAAGCGGGACGGCTTGCACCACCTCGGTTGACTCCCGCTGGTCACCGAAGCGTGTTTCCTAGTGAGGCGTGTTGACGTGCTGGGAAGCTGGGTGCTTGCCCCCACAAGCTGACCCGTCTGGCTTCGGCACTGCGCATCTGTGAAGGTAGCGGCAAGTGGAAGGATCCTTGCACTGGCCTTGCTGATAGCACATGCAAAGCGTGTGCTGCTTGCCCTCCATAAAGAGGGTAGAGAGCCACTTGCCGGGGCTGGAATTTGCGCCTTTCTTGCCCTTGCCGCCGCGCGCTGCCCTCTCTGGGGCCTCCTCAGTTTGCCACTGGTGCTCGCCTTTGCCCTTGCCGCCCTTGCCGTTACCTCGAAAGTTGGGGCGGTTGCCTTTGCCTTCATGACGAGGTCTCCAAGTATCTTTAAGCTGGAAAAGGTGCTTGGGTATATGGGCTCGCGGTGCAAGAAGCGTGCTTAGGTCGGCACGAACCTGGGTGACCTCGTGCAGGGTGTCGTCCAGCTTCCATGCATGAATGTTGACAAGTTCAGCGATAAGCGACCATGCACGCTTGTCTGCTGCCTGTGCTTCGAGAGAAGTGGGTCCACGCAGGTTGGAGGCTGATTCGTATTTAACGAAACAAAGCTTCAGGAACTTCTTCTGGTAAAGCTTGAGCGAGCCCAGATGAGCTCCCCGACAGAGTGCTATACTTTTGGTTGCCAGTGTGAGGAGCTGGTTCATCAAGTTGAACGAAGCTGGGCCGTCATGGATATCCCGAGACGGAGCTTCATCCAAAAGCAGGTCACTCAACTCTGTCAAGCGGGGGAGCTTTTTTGGACGCATGAGTAGATTATCGTCCTGGGCTTTAGCGCTCAAGCGGAACTTCCATGGTAGCCACCGTATTTCCTTGTCAGCAACCATTTTTGAGGTGAGGGCCAACAAGCGGGAGCTAGGGAAGCAGTCACTATCCAGAAGCTCCGTGGGGTAGTCGTCTTCAAAGCGTTTACGAAGCTCAGCAGTGCGTTCAGCGCTAAGTTTAGCTGGCCATGCCTCCTGCCAAGTGGTGCCTGCGTTGCTGGTTGGCGGTGCCGAGGCACTGGCAACTGGTACAGCAGGTTGGGCTGGGTTCCTTGATTCATCCAGTGGGGGCATGTCACAGCTTTCCCTACACTTGCTGAAAAGCAAGCGGATCGAAGCCCTTGCCAGGATGTGGTCCCCCAAAGCTGAGGTGCCCGAGGCCTCCATGAGATGGATGATGAGTGCGGCCAGCTCTTCCTGGTTGTTGCATGACCTCGCGAGGAGGGGCGCATCATATAATGACAGGGCTTCGCGGATGTTGTCGGGGATGCTCGATTCCACCA